TCCATTTTCTTATTGTTTCTTCTAATGTAATGATGTATTCTTATTATTTCTTAGTAAATTTGTTATAAATATCATTTGCTGTAGGAACAGAAGAGTATTTTATCGAAATTAATACGAAGTTGTGGCCTAATGGTAAGGCGTCGTCGTTGGAGACGGAGGGTTCCAGGTTCGAAACCCGATTTCACTAAATCTCTGCCGTGTATTGGGTCTGCTGCACGCTAAATCGTACGTAGGGGGCCAAACGTCCTCCTGCTGGTGTGGCGCGGAAGTTTGAAGAGGGGTGCCAGTGTCGCCCCTATCACCTGACCGTGGTGCAAAATTACGAGGTCCGTTTCAAAATACCCCTCGTTTTTCTTTGAAATGGGACGTTAATATAACTGAGCGAAACTTAGCGAAATTAATATTTAATTGAAATCTTAGTACCTGCAATGGAATACATTTCAGCACATGACTGTGAATTCAACAATAAAATAATCAATAAAAAAACCTGATTTGACGATACGTAATTAAATCTAGTTCGAAACAATTTTATGCCTTGTGTAATTTCAAAATAAATTATTTTTAATTCGGTAGTTTGGTAACAAAATCAAATCAAATGCACAAAATGCAAACATAATTTTTTTTATTTTAAAAATAATAAAATTTAATAATTTCTTATTCAAAACATATTAAATATTTTGTTTGTGACATTATATATCGAAATTGTTAATGCGGAGATTAATTTTGATATAGATCATTCCTTATTTCTATACGAATGAGAAGTATCTATTGTGCAATTCTCAGAAGAAAAGCATTACTCTAAACATGTATCTACTTTTCTCAATAGTAGAAACTTCCTCTACGGTCCAAGTTTTAAAATTTTTCAAAGAATCCTTATAGAAGTATAAAAAAGGATTCACATACAGAACCATTACTCTAACAACACGTTATTTTCGAATTTAATGAAAATAATTCGTGGAGAAATGTTATCCCAAACTGGCAGTTTTCCAAACTTTCAGTCGCCTTTGTAGTTTATTTGTCACGAAACAATAAGAAAATAACTTAGATGATTAAACAGGAAATGGGAACAATAATTTACAAAGTAAATATTATAGAATAGAAGAGTTAAATTCAATAATATTCGTTGGAAAACAACATGAATAGCACGAACAGAGTTTGAATAAATATTTTCCTTAGAGTAAGTTTTACTTCGAAATATAGAAACTAGTTTATTCATTTCTTAACGTCGAATTTCTTTCTACACATCCAAACATTTTAACGATACAGGCTTATAAACCCTATGTAAGTTAGGTCTTAATTACATTTGCCGAAAAAAAATCTTATTGAAGTCGGTTTTTAATTGAATATTTGCTTCAGAAAAATATAATCTGTAAAATATTTTTTCCAGTGATAGAGGTTTCTTAAAACAGTACTCGATATTTCTATTTAAAAGTCCAGGTATCATCCTCGTCATGAGACCCTCGATTCAAAATTACGAGGTCCGTGCCAAAATAGCCGTCGTGTTTCTTCCAAACGGGACGTTAATATAACTTAAAACTAAAACTCTATTTATATAACTAAAGTGATCAGTACTTATATCTCATGTGTTTGCTTTTTATTTTCTATAACGTGTCATATATCATAAGTGATGTTTTTAAGAATTAATTAATATTTTAGAAGCATATAATTGCCCAATATTTTTTCAGTTATATGTTAATATATCATTCCTCATAAATGGTTAATATTATGAAATAAGATACACTAAATGGAAAAGACAAGATAATATTAAAGCTAGAAATAAATTTTATACTACCCCGTCCCCCCCCAAAAAAATAAGATATCACCATGGTTAAAATGTATGTTGTTTGGATATTTTTTTTCAAAGCACAGAATTTACTACAATGTAGAGAAAGAAAATTGGTTGCTTTTCTAGATGTTTTCTAGGAGATATTTTTATATAAAAGCTGCTGTATAATATTTTGGCACTTGCATGATTTTGAGGGGGGGGAATTCTTTTGTAAAACTTTAACTTAATGGATTAACTTTCATTAAATAGGAATTAACTTAGTTATTTTATGCACAAATAAGTGATTCTATAACGTTGCATATAAAAAATAAATTGAAAATTCAGACTCATCATTTGATACATTTGAATCATTATTTTTGAACAAATCAAAATTTTTCCCTTGAAAAATGCAAAAATCATAAACCAAAAGTGTATTATCATTCAATTCATAAATATAGCTTTAGCTTAAATTTCCGATTTGTTTAAAAGCAGAAACTTCCTTTCAAATGAAAGATAATATTTTTGAAAACATCCTTTGAAACGGACGCACTAAAAGCCCTATTATTGTGACAACACGTAATTCTCTATTTTTATGCAAATAATTCGAAGAGAAATCTTAGAGCAAGCTGGCAGTTTTCCAAGTTTTCAATTGCCTTTGTTGTTTTCCTGAAGCAGAATGAAAAAATGGCTGAAGTGATTAAACAGTTAAGAGAAGAAAATTTTACAAAGTAAATTAAGGAATTGACGAGTAAAATTCAGGAGATAAGAATGGAAAAATAATTTGAGATTGATGATGATAGATTTTGAAGAGACGTTTAGCTTCGTTTAAAAAAGAATCTATTTTATTCATTTCTTTAGAATTTTTCTTTCTGCATTTTCAAAAGCGAAACATCCTAATGATGCATACTCATAATCTTTAATGAAGTTAGTTATAAATCCCATTTGCCGGAGGATACTATCTCGTTGTAATCAGATTTTAATTGCAGTTCGCGAAAAAACTTAGTCCGAAAAATATTTATGAAGTGACGATTAAATCAGAAAAGATTAATGTAAAGTATAGTTTACAATTACAAAACTAAAAATATTTTTAAAAATTATAAAACAAATAAATTTTATTTGTTAATAATAAATATAAACAATTAATTGTTCTTCTTGACGAATTGAAAGCTTTGATTCCGCAATTAATAAAACTGTGCAACAAAAATCGATGTAGTCGATGTTATCGACATAAAAACAATTGTTAATAAATTCTGTGTGCTGTTGTTGATGTGTGCATAAAAAAATCTAAATTGGCTACGATTTTTTTTAATATATACCTCTTAATACCTCTATCCAACTACAGATCGATAACATTACTTAAGACATCTATTTAAATAAATACAATTGAAACAATAAATATAAATGAATTGATGAGGTAAATAAACAATAACTGAATCATGGTGCAATTAAAATAAAATATTATATATATTTTTAAAATTTATGTTAAATTTTGATTTGACATGAGGTACAAGAGAATTTCATGCCAAAAAATAAATAATCCTTCAAGCAAATATTTCGATACATTCATGAAAAAGAAGCATACAAAACGTTCACAAAATACAGTTCATGCAAAAAATGTCTTGTCAGTTGTCATTTTATGACAATTTGCTTCTTTTTGCCTTTCGGTTGTATTTTTGTGGTCTCCCTTAAGAGTGTATAACAATAATCTACAGGTACAGAAATGAATCACTGTCCCTG